GTCTTGCGCTACTTCTCGCGCCTTTTCTCTTCTCACCCTTTGAGTCCAACGCACGACGCCCGGTCGATCCGTCGATAACTCTCGTTCGCCAATCAAGTGCGTGGACCAATAGGATCTTCCTATTGCGCGACGAATCTGATTGGTTGAACCTCGAGTTCCGAGGGATCAACATGGCGTTCACAGAGCACTCTTCTCAAAGTCTTCTCCTCCCGCGTCTCCTCTTATACCTCAGCTTCCCCGTCGCTTTCTCCCCTTTCTTTCTCCCTTGTCGCAACTATAAAACCCTCGAGCGCGCCCGCAAATCTCTCTTACGTTCTCGACTCTCAAGCCGGCTTCCGGGAAGCAGTGGCTAGGCAGAGTGTTCGGTGCGAGTCAAAAAGTCCTGTCGGACTGACGATAGGCTGGCCGGTTGCGCGCTGGATCGTCACGACGGACTGTGGGATTTGGGCGAACCGTGTCGAGTTTACGACAGCGGGGTGACGATCGCAGTGGTGGGAGTTAGCATGCAGCGGCCAGGATCGTCGGTGCGGGTATGAGGATCGATGAGTGAAGTTGAGTGAGTGATTGGTCCGGGGCCATATTGGATGAGCCTTGGTTGTTGCGGATCTTTTTCTCCGACAACGCTGAACTTCCTTCTTTTGGGTTGTGTCATCTCCTATCTCGACTGTCCTCCCTCACTTTCCCCTTCTCCTCTATCTTTGAATAATGATGTGTCTTGATGCTTCTCTCCTTCTCTCCCTTTCTCTCTTTCGGATGAGCATGAATCTGTATGCTTTCCTTGCGTGAAAGAACTTCTTCCGGAACTCTTCCATTCGTTTCCTGGGTAATCCTCCTACGCAAGGACCCCGTCTTCTTGTCTTGTGAACGGTCGATGCGTGTGTACTGTGCAAGCGATCCATCTTTTCCTGTGCATGGCTCATTTTTTGCACCTTCCACAGTGGATGTATGTATGGAGATGTGTGACCCCCTTTTTTGCATTGATTAGACGATTATCGTCGGGATTTTGTTCGAGAATGCAAGAGTGTTTAGATCTGTAGATCTGAATGTACTGCGCATGCCATCTGCCTTATGCTGCACGACATCAGCAGCCGAGCTCCGGGGCGGCCTCGAGTAACAAGGCGCATGTGATCAACGTCGCGCTGGCTTACTAAACCTGAGCCACGGATCGATCCCTTAGTCATATGCATGACCAAGCTGCTGAAGTGTCTTCTTTCGCTCTCTCTCTCTCTCGTGTTAAAAGGGATCGATTGTGAGCTGCGCGAGTGTTTTCTTTTTTTGATGACATCGCAAGGTCTTTACAATTGATTGATATGTGGACTGACCAGTACCCTCCATTTGGGCACCAGCCTCCCGTACCTCCCGTCCCAACACGACCTTTTCCCTACAACGAGGGAAGGACACGTGTATGCGAGTGGGACGTACGAGAAGCTGTTGCACAAATCGGCGGGCGATATTACTTCCCTCCAGCAAATCGTTGTTCAGGGTTCGTGGAGGTTGGGTTTGTCATTATCGATACGCATTTTCCACCTTACTCGATATTGTTGTCATTCAACGAGTTGATCGTCATCCCGTGGACGGCAGTAGAACCCCACTGGCCTCGCACTCTATGCACCGAATGTCAGCGTTTTGAGCGCTACGAATCCAGGGGTTTCCACTACCGTGTGCGGAGTGAAGACGAGCATAAAGAAAGAGCCACTCGGCTGAGACCATCCACGTCAGACTCGGAACTGACCAGCGAACGACGACGAGATTTGATACGTAAACGAGACACGCGAAGCGTGCCAACGCCTTTCCGTTCTAAACGACGGGCTGTAGCCCGGTGGAAAGCCCGACAATACTTTTTGGATTGAATTTGGATTTTTTTTTGCGCCGTGCCCGCGCGCGCATTCTTCGACGTGCGAAAGCAACCGACTTACTTCATCGGACCAACACGGGGGATTTCAGTTCCATTTGTGTTCCCACACTCAATTTCCAAAAATCCTTGGCACACCCCATCTTGCTGTTTTTCTGGGCCTCTTTCCGCACGCCTAACACTCCGAACGAAAGACAGCACAGGGCGTGAGGTTGGTATCGGAGCCGACACGTGTCGGTTCTGATGATAGTAAGTCGAACTGGCGAGAGGTAGGATAGGCCCTCAGCTAGCTCGTCGGGATCGCCCAGTGACCAGGTCTCAATCCGGTGCGGTTGCACCGGCCATGCCGATGGCAGACGGTACTAGGGTGATCGTTAGCATCCCCGCCCCCTTCCCTTTCTTCCCTAACCATACCCATCCCAAGGCTTGGCTGGAAGCTGTCGAAGCTCAAAATTACAGTGCAGCCGATCTTCCCCGCGTTCTGACATTGCTACTCCGCAATACATCGCATGACTGGTTTAGAAAACATACGTGGGTAGATTGGGATACCTTCAAACAAAACTTCTTGGCTCGATTTGATACGGTCAGTGAAGATGCCGCTTGGTACGTGCTAAAAAATCGGCCACAAGGGCCCGGGGAATTGTTGCCCGATTTCGTGGATCAATTTCAAACCACGTTGGATAAATTTGGGCGAGACGAGATATCCGCTCGAGATTTGTTCATCGATCACCTACGAAGTCCCACGTTGAAAGGGAAACTGCAGAAAAAAGTCCCACCGAAGACACACCAACTCCCCGCTATCATCGCAAAAGCATTGGAACTGGACCTGGCGGATACAAAAAAATACATCAGCTAGGGAGACGAAGATATTACCGATACCATACGGGATGTAGCGGCAAAAAGCCGATCATGGCTACAAGCGGTAAAACGGTTTTATCCCCGCCTCGATCATGACCTTCCCGATGGGGTTGCTTCCGATATCCCGACTGTCTCTTCTCCCTCTCCCCCTGTGAATCAACCGATAGCGGCAGTTAAGAGCGGAGTCCCCCATGAACTCCCACGCCAGCCGTAACCAACTTACATCTTGCCCAAATAATCCATACGGCCACTACTAAGTAGTCCGAATGGATGAGCAACTTGATCCAAATGCAGGCCGCTCATATGGAGCAGATGGAACAGATAATGAGCAGACTAATTAAGCCTAACCCGACCCCTGCTCGGACTGCTCCTGCATCATTTCCGCTTTTGCCTACCCCGCCTGCTCAAGGGTACGCACCTCAGTTCCCTCACCTAGCTAATCCAGCAGGAAAGATCGAGTGTTTTAACTGCAAACAGCCCGAACATTTCGCCCGAGACTGCCCGCAGCCAAAGCGTAATCAGCCCCCACCGGCGGTGGCCCCTGTGGCCCTGAATCAAGGACGAGTGGCCGCATCAATGGATACGGCCCAAGGAGGGGAGCTCGTGGCATATGCCCCAGAGCAGCCTTCCCCTTCGACGACAATGGCGTCGACATCAGGAGCTTCCTCCTCTGACGCTGCTGACGTGGTCGATCCACTCGAATACCTTCATCTTGCAGGCATGGTCGGAGCGATCCGATCGGCCCCTGATGATCTCGAATGGGTCGACCGCGAATCCAATCCTGGTCCGCAGTTTCGATCAGGAGAAATTGATATGTTACGAGCACTCAAACAATTGGATATTCGTGTTCTGATCCCAGTGGTACATCTGCTCACCATATCTGAAGCGGCAAACGGTAAACTTTTACAACATGGCCAGAAAAATCAAAAGCGCTTCACCTATCAGCGCATACAACAAATGTTGAAAAAGAAGGAAGGAAGCGAGAAAGTTGCACAGTTTGAACCCGAAGCCGGTGAACCTGAGGCTGCACGAATAGCAGCGATCTCTTTAGCAGAAAAAGATCACTTCGTACGAGCTCGGCCAGTACTATGGAAGAGCGCGGAATGTGATTACGAAGTTTGGAGCAAGCCGTTTAACGCTCTTATTGACACGGGGTCTTCTGCAGTAGCTATATCATTAGATACTGTCAAAAAGACGGGGCGACTCGGATCCATTCTTCCTCAATCTGACAAAGACAATTATGTCTCCGCCGACGAAGAAGCAATGAATATCGTAGGCATTATTGAGCATGTGGCTGTAAAAGTTGGATGAGTACACGTCCTTGTCAATGCGCTTGTGATAGATGTACGTTCCTATTCTGTGTTGTTGGAACTACCTTGGGCGATGGCAGTGGGCGCACGATTGCATTTCGATTCGAAACAACTGGTGCTCACTCAAACTGGGGGAAAGCCTCAAACTGTTCCTTTGCAAATTTCCACCCGAACGATAAAACGAACCCCTAACTCGGCCCAAATAGGGATGATTCGATACATTAATCCCGAGTAGTGTTCTTCCTCAGATATCGATAGTGGAATCAGGGAACAAAAAGACGAAGAAGAGCTGCCTAGCAAAGATGAATGGAAGCACCTGGTTGAACTTTTCGAGCACGAAATACCCGAAGAATTCCAAGTGTGCCCCGACCCTGCCCGAAGCTTCCACGTGGATTCAGGAGACAGCGCACTTGCACCTCCGATAACCCCAGTTTGTCCTTCAGTCCTGCTTGGGAAACCCATATTACAAGTATCTGACCTGACCGATGATTTGGAACCCCCTCGCACCTTGTACGAAGGAGCTCTCTCCTTACGAACGCGTTATCAGCAAACGGAACAATATTTGGATGTTTCTGTTTTCCCGCCCAGATCGTTACTAACGACAAAAGTCACCATTGCTTTGATTAAACAAGAGGCGGAAGCACCGGTAAGTGATGTACCTGATCTGATGCAAGAAATGACGGATCTAACGAGGCTAACTGTGGAACCGGCCTCGGTTGGTTCATAGACTGATGCTGAAACTAAAGAAACGGAGATGATCAGCCCCGTTGAGTCCCAGATGATAGCAACTGTCTTCTTTGTTCGCACCAATAGTTCCGTTTTCTCTAGTGTCTACGATCGACGGGAACGACCGGTTGATTGGGTCGATATGCCCCTTACGATTTCCGGAGAATCAACTATCACCCTACCAAGTCACGTTCCCGCGGAACTTCGGAAGTCGTCAATCTGTGTGTTAAATGGTTACGCAGAAGTATTGAGCATACATGATAATGACATCGGCTTAACTAATGTGATCGAGCATGCCATTCTCACGGGAGACCATCCACCCATTAGTTGCGTTCCTTACCGATACTCGCCAGCTCAACGAGTGACCGTTTTTCCGCGGATTAAAGAATTCGAAGCTAATGGATGGATCGAACCCGCCATAGGTCCCTGGTCTTTTCCCGTAGTAATCGTGCCTAAAAATGCAGGAGGGATTCGCATTTGCATTGATTATCGAAAGTTGAATGATATCACGATCAAAGATGTCTACCCCCTCCCCTGGATTGATGAGTTGTTGGATGCGATTGGAAGTGCTCGATTTTTCAGCAAGTTTGATGTTCGTCATGGGCTCCGTCATCTTCTTGTTCGAGAAGAAGATCGTCCGAAAACAGCATTTGTGCTTTTCGAAGGTAAGTGGCAGTGGATTCGATGTCCAATGGGTATCTGCAACGCCTCCGCGACCTTCCAACGAGCCATAAACATGGTTTTTCATAATTTCGTGCGGAAGACTCGTTTGGCGCAGAGCATCATCAACTACTGCGTGATCGTGTACATGGATGACATCTTGGTGTACTCGAGTTCCTACGAGGGACACGTGCAGCACATCGAATGGGCACCGCACGCGTTACGAGATGCGGGTTTCAAAGTGGCGCTTGAGAAGTGTCAGTTTTTCCTCACCACCATTTCCTTCCTGGGGCACGTGGTGACAGACAAGGGACTCCAACCGGAGCCGCAGAAGGTGGCAGCTGTCAGGGATGCGCCGGTGCCTACAACTGTCACGCAAGTTCGCGACTTTCTGGGCCTGGCCTCGTACTACCGAAGATTTATCAAGGGCTTCGCGACGATTGCGGGACCCCTCACGAATCTGCTGCGCAAAGATCAGTCGTTGATCTGGACGCCGGAATGCGATCAAGCGTTTTCCAAACTCAAGGCCGCTTTCATTTCGGCTCTGGTCCTTATAAGACCGGATCCCAAAAAGTCTTTTGTTATCATCACTGACTGGCAGCCAGAGGCAATTTCGGCAATCCTTGCCCAGGTGGGACCAAGCGGACTCGAGAGTGTGGTGGAGTATGCGTCCAAATCGGTGCCCGCTTGCAAGCGCAACTACGCTGCTCCAACGGGGGAATGCTACGCGGCTCTATGGGGAATCAACCATTTTCGTGCTTACCTGTACGGGCGAAAGTTCACCTTGGTAACTGATCACGAGCCCCTGTTGGCTATGAAGAAATCGAAGGATTACTCGGGCATGATCGGGCGATGGGCAACGGTGCTGCAGAGCATGGACTTTGACATTCATCATCCGAAGCACGAGAGACACGGGAATGCAGACGGACTAACACGACTGCACCGACCTGAGAAAGTTCCGAAGAGTGAGGAGGTGATTCCGTGGAACGAACCCGAACAAGAGATCGGACTTCGGTACGGCCAAGTGGAGATCCTGTCGAAGCCGTAAGTGGCACGCGGACTAATTCTCCCCACAATTCAGTCCTATCTTTCCTCCTCTGTCATCATGACTACCCCGCTTGCCTCCGCAACCCCTTCATCTCCACTAATTTTGCCCCTCTCACGTCCTCAGCTTTCTTTGCCACCCTCCCCGATAAATTCTGTTAGTTTTGCACGTGCATTGCACGAGTCTATGGGGTCGACTGTCATCCTTTCGAAACCGTGTTTGTCGACTGGGTAGAATGTGCCACGTGTGTCAATCGTGCGCACAGGGCCTGCGTTCGATATCGGACGAGTAGCAAGGAATGGAGGTGTCCCCTGTGTAGAACGAACAAACTCCCCACAGAGGTTCGATTCGAGGCCGCCCGTACGGACGGCCCTGAGTACGACGAAAAATACCGACGAGCGGAGGTTTGGAAAATTTTATTGGCGAAATTTGCGGGATTATCATTGGGCCACCTCACCAAACATGACAGACGTAGGGCGACCGAGAGATCTCGGGACTATCGATGGGTCAACGGTCATTTGGAAAAGCGTAAAACTGACGGATCGGGTTCGTGGCTGACGGTTCCCCATCCATTCCAGAGATATGATTGGATCCGATCTGCTCACGAAGAACAGGCCGCTCATTTCGCGATACGTGTTGCGGAGGCAACTGTAGATCAGAACCGATGGTTCTGGTCCAATATACGAGATGATGTCAAATACATTGTCGCTAACTGTCTGGTCAGTGCCGCTGATCGCGCCCCTATACGCGGACCAAATACGATTGTACCAACGGAAGTAGAGCGTCCTTTTCAGCGAGTCAATATGGACACAACAGATATCGACGTGCCACCTGGCCCAAACCGCTGTGAATATTTTATCCTGTTGGTATTAATAGACCATTTTTCCAAGTACATCGAAGTCTATCCCTGTAAGACCTGAAAAGTCGCAGAAATAGCCACGTACATCGAACGGTTCCTCTATACCCATCTAGATACGGAATAAATTTTGATCGACAATGGGTCTGAATTCAAGGGTGAGGTAGAAGAACTGCTTGCGGGAAGGAGCGTCACGCTCCGACATACGGCACCCCACGTGTCCCAGTCGAACGGGTTGGCCGAAAATGCCAACCGTATGATTAAAACCGCCCTTCGCAGGAACTTAGCGGCACACGACACGCGTCCTTGGCCCGAGATCGTATATCAGATCGTCGGGATCCACCGGGCCACCCCTCACGAGTCTACGGGGCTTACCCTTTTCAGCTTCGAACTAATAGCCTCCCTGTGTCGACTACCGGGGTAACTCGGAAATTGCCGAAGCAGGGGGAAGAGACACGCATGCAGCTCTCAAGGCCAAGGCCAAAAGGTACACCGAATTAATGGAACGGGCCGTCCCGAAGCTAGCCCGAAAAAGGCAAAGGATGACCGAACTGGCCCACGGTAGACAAGTCCGTAGCCACGAGGCTTGGAATGGAAATGCTGGGCCCCAGCATCAATATAAATTAGGGGACCTAGTGCAGGTACGTAAATGTGCACGTGACCGGAAACTCGCTCCCAAGTTTTCTGGCTGTTTTCACGCTGTCGAGCTCGGACCCAACGGGGCCAACACGGTGCGCATCGAGCCTGAGGCTAGTGCCAGCCATAGCTCTGTCCCCATCGTCCGGCATACCTCCTACCTCCGTCTTCTTCCTCCTTCTGATCTCCCTCCCCCTTCTTCCTTGGAAAGCGAGGAGAACGACAACAATCTAACTCTCTCTCCTCTTTCTCCCTCTTGTCCTTCGTCCGACCTCGCCATGAGTTTCATCACGGAGCAGGTTCTTGACGTACAGCTGTTGCAGCCCCATGGCCACATCTCAGAGATCCGGCAAGTGTGTCATCCTCGGCTCAATACGGATCTTCGGTGTTTGGCGCAATTTTTCTGCGATGTGAGTATCTGTGCCGCCGCCGCATTTTGAATCGACGGGAGTCCTCACGCAGTAGTATTTGCGGAGGTAATCGCAATTCATTGGCGAGCGGCTCCCAGAACGAGCTACGTCACCACGGTCACGGCGAGCGGCGACATCAGCTCGGTCAATCCGCAAAGACATACCGCAATCTTGACTTCACTGCGCCAGTGGACGGAGCAGGTGTCCAACGTGTGGCAGCACGTTCTCGCCCTTCCCACATCCCCAATGAACCACGCCAATCCTTTTGCTCCTCTCTCTATCTTTGGTCTCCCCTCTCTCTTCCCCACCTTCTGGCAATCCGATCTCCATCCTTCTCATTCGAGCCTCTTTCAGTCCCTCTTATCAATCCTGGGCATTGGCGGCTGTGGCGCGAAACTTTTGAGGAGCTGTCTTTTTGCTTGGCCAGGGTACAGGTGACGTGGACACAAACCAGCGAGCATCCTGCGTGGATCGAAAATCCGGAGCTGCTGATCATCCAAGCTTGGAGGACTAACGTGGAGGGCGATCTTCTTGGCTTTCTCTTTGGATCGGTACAGCCGGGGCGCCGCCAACTGATTGCACAGGAGCTCATCGCGCCAATCGTGCAACTGGCGGACGATCTCTCGCCCGACATCTATTCACAGAGTGACGACAATCCTGCTCCGCACGTTCTCGAGCGGTCATTGGATCCATATCTTCAGTGGACTGCGTGCTTGGAGGAGCCCAGGGACGAAGATACGCTGCCGTCGCGGCAGGAGTATCTGAAGCCGTACGATATCATCCCTCACGCCTTCTATCCGAGGGCAGAGGAAGTGGATATCGACGACGACGACGAAGAGGACGAAGATGAGGAAACATCGGAGGAGGGAAGCTATAGCGAATATAGCGAGGGCAAGCTGAGTGAAGGAGAAGAGGAGGAAGAAGAGACCGGATCTGAGTGGGAAGCCTTGCCGGAGGAAGCGACGCGCACGGGAACGGAGGCGGAAGATCCGGAAGCAGCTCGAAAGCGAGAAGAAATTGCCACCGGGAAGCGCCAGCTGAAGTTCGCCAGCGAAGCCAGCCTGCGCATCGGTAATGATCCGACCAGAGATCCGGAGCCGCCAAAGGCCGAAGATGGCGACCCTGCAGCCGCCACCTCAAGTACCGCGCGACGGAGACGGAGCCGATCCCCCTCCTCCCCCAGCCCCACCCGTCCCTCAATTCGCCCACGTACAGATGCGGGCGATAGGCCTTCGTCCTCAGACACTATCCCGCTGACCCCTTGATTTCCTCACCCTCGAACAGATCCGCACCCCCGTCACCTTCCCTCCCCATCCTTTCCTCCCCCATCTCTTCCGCGATTTTTACTCTACCCGCCTACTCGCTGCCGTCCATCCCCACGTATCCCTTCAACCCGCTGCCCCCACGTTCTGCTGGCATATCCTGCTGTTCAGCGCCGCCTAGGAACGATGCAACGTGGTAGAGGTCTACTGCGTAGCGACGGGGACAATCCCCGCCTGTCGCCACTTCGAGTTCTTTCGAGCGGCGCTTTTTCGCACCCTCTCCTCCTTCTATCGTGACTACCTCGCTTCCCTCCCTCGCAGCGGTGATCACTTCCCCCACTTCCACCGGATCATCCGATATGAGGAGCTTCCGGTGACGATGCAAGGGATGAATCGCTTCCTACCCCCACTTCCTCCCCGTCGTCCCCGTGAAATCCCCTCCATGTACCGCCTCTATTGGCCAATTCCAACTAGGAGGTAGATCCCGTAACTATCACTTCTCCCCCCCCCTCTCTCCCCTCTTCATCCAATCGGCAGGGGAAAAAGGCACGAATCAGTAAGCTTCGCGAAGATCCCGCCATCGACGATGACGTCAACTCACGCTCTGATTCGACGGGCAGCGATAAGCTGGGGTGCAGAGCACACGGAGAACCGGCGGACGATGATGGCGTCACCTGGATGACCATCGAGTAGTCCAGCAGCACGAACCAACGGAAGATTGCAATTGAAGTTGGCGTCAACATGGACTCTGGCCGGATCATTTGTTGATACGCTTGGTTCCTCATGCATCACTCTGTTCTCTCCCTCTCTCTCTCCTTCTCCGCCATGACATGCAATCAGGATATCACATAATTTGGAACCTCCTGCGCGTCACATATATGACGAACCACTTCCCGAACTCGTGCTATCTTTTGTACCTTTTTTTGCTTGTATCATACCAACCCCATAAAAACCCCGTTTCGTTTTCTTGATTTTGGGTACCGCGTTTTTGACTCCCATCTTTCGGGAGCTTTTTCGACTCCCGGGTTCTGCTTTTCCTTTCTGAAATTCAGAAAATACATGAGAAATTACGTGCGCCTTAGCGAGCGCACTGGGAATTGGGCTCGGCAGTTGGGAATTCCGGGATAAGCGGAACGTCGACGTGTCCTTTTCGTGTGTATGAATGTTCTTGGTCGCGTCGGGGAAAACTCTCGGAATTTTGTGCGAATACGAATAGGCATAGGATTTTCTTTTCCCGCGTCGCTCTTTCGTGCGCGGATATGGTGATTTCAATTTTGAATTA